TTTTCCTTTTTATTTCTCTTTTTCTGTTTAATTCTCTTTATTTCTGTGTCTTCAAGGGAGCTAATTCGTTCTTCCATTTCATCTATTCTCTTTTCATTAATTTTTCTCAGCATTCTTTATCTCCTCTAGTGGCTTTTTCATCTCCTGCATTTCTTCTGTTTCTTTTTTTAATATCTCATTTTCTTTCTTCAGTTCATTGATTCATACTGTTTTATTTCTTTTTCATTTCTTTCATTCATTTACTTTTTTGTGTTCTTCAAATCCTTGATGGCTTGCCTCATTTCATTTTTTTTCCTTCTCATCTTCTTTTTGTTTGTTTATCATGATGATTCTGAATTCTTTATCTGGTAGGCTGAGCCATCCTTCTATTTCTTTGGTGGTTTCTGCTTACTGATCTTTTTGTGGTGAATTTTCCCCCTGTGGACTTGCTTGAATATTAGTTTGTCTTCTTTCCCTGTCGTGTATTTTCTAATACTTTCTGTTTGTTCAGACACGGTGTTGCTATTATTGACCGGCATTCTTTCTGGATGTTCTTTCTGATATGGCAGAGGGACTTCCAGACACTTCAGTTGTTGAGGGTATTCTGAACCTTGTTTTGTTTCAGTATCTCCTGTTTTTCCAGCCTCTACTGTGTGGAATTATGTCTGTTGTCTCTGCCAGTTACGCTCCGATGTCTCTTGTGGTGTTCAGCTTCTTCTGGTAACTCGTTGAGTCCTTGTCTCTGGAAGGTGCCTGTTGATCTTTGTAGCCTTCTGATGATCTGGGTTCCCTCTATGCTTGGATCAGCCATGGGGGGTGGGGTGCATTAGAAGTGTTGCAGCTGGGCCTGTGGTTGAGCCAGTCACTGGTTTTGTTTATTTTCGGAGCACTGTGGGCCTTGCAAGGAAGTGCCTTACTGGCTCACACGTTTTACAGCCACTGCTGTTCACTAGCACCTTGAGTCCTAATTCTGCACGCCCCTAAGTTATGCAGACTGTCAGTCCTCCCTCAAGGCCTCCAGTGCTCTTTTTGCCCACTCAGAGCAGTCTCTCCCTGAGTACTGTCCCTACCACTTGGGGGAGTGTTAATGGGCCTTTTTTTGATTCAGTCTAACCTTTTCCCCCACCTTTTATTTCAGGGGCTTTGTGAACTTGCTGGCCCTACCTTAGTGACTAATGCCAGGAACAAGCCTCCAGGCCTATGCTGTGGGGGTGGGTGAAAGAGTTGCAAGTCTTGCTGCTGCCCCTGTCACCAGATCACCAGATTTTTCTCCCCACCTCCCAGGCTCTATGTGCCCACTTGCATAGTCTTTTCCCACAGCTTGGGTTCCACTCACCAAGCCGAATGACCAGCAAACCTCTGTCTGCTACACTAGAGCCTGGGTGCCCCCCCAAGTTGCAGGGTTCTGCTCATCCTGTTTGTGGTGCTTCCAGCTAGGAGTTCCCTTAACGGAACTCCCCAATCACCGATTCTCCCTCAGTTATCTTCCTTCTAATGACTCCAGGGTGTTCTCATTTGGGTTGAAACTCGTAGTATGTAAGTCTATAGTCCGTTTTCAGTACTAAATTCCTGTGCGAGCCTGGACACAGTGATCGTGGCATCTTTACTCTGATGCCATCTTCAACTTGTCCAATAGCTACTTACAATGATCTCCAGCTCTCTGTCCTTGAGTTTTAGGTGATACAGAACTGCTGAGGAAGGTTGTGGTGATAATTGGGAAATGAGTGGACCCGAGGTCATAAGCTGTTAGTTTACGTTCCATTTTTCTCATGGTTTTGTTTATGCCATTAGCAGGCAGCTGTACAAATATAAACTATACCTTATTGAAAATAATTGTGAAGGAAGGATTCAGCAGCATCTGATTTTCCTTCTATAATATTGGAGTTGATTAAGACAGGTGAAATAATAGGCTGAGAGGTGCACAAGAATTAGAAAGGCATGGAGGCAGTTGGACTGGAAGTTAGAATAGAAGACAGGAACAATTCTGCTCCTCAGGGTTCCCCTGCCTCCTCCACAACTGCTGGATACGGAGATCAGCCACCATAAATTTAGTCTCCATAGTTCTGTCACTTATTCAGGAAGCTTTCTCCTTTCCTGGAGTCACTGCTTTGCTGTGGACTGTCTGATAAGCATTTGTGGTTGCCAGCAGACTGCAAAGCCTGACAGTGCCAGACTTTGATTCTTCCAGTGTTCTCTTGGTGTATCCAAAACCTAAAAGTTTCAAAACTCTGCAACCCCTCAAATCCTCCCTGAATTCCTTGGGAAGATCACAACTGCAGGTTTCAACTGTAACCTTGCATCTCAGAAAGCCAGGGGCCACTCTGTCTGCCATCCCTCTTGTCTCTTTTTTCTCACCTGCCTCTCCTTACAAACCCACCCCCCTTTCTTTCTTCAAACACAAAAGCAAATGCATTGAGGATATCAGCTCATAAGATAGGATGGACTCAGAAGGATTCTTGCAATAATATGTAAAATGGAAATTTAAGCCTTTCCCCTGGAGTTTGGTTAACATCACTTCCTGGAGAAACCTGGGAAAATGGAGTTTGTAAGAGTGGGCCCAGGGGTTCTGTATACACCACTAAAAGAACTCATCTTTCTCTTTTCAAAAGTTGCCTTGGCTTCTGTATTGCCTTTAATGGAACAGGATTCCCATTTGCCTCCCTTCCTATCCCCACCCCCTTACATACATACACACACACACACACACACACACATACATACACACACACATCTCCTATTCATTTATCTGGTCAACAACTTCTATCACTTTACCTTCTAAATATGCTCCATTTTCTCTCTTCCTAACTTCCATACCCCTGTGATGTCGTTTTGAAAAGGTGTGGGTGGGGTTCAGTGAGCAGGTCATTGGGTTACTTCTGAGAAAAGTTTCACTGAAGTTCCCCTTTCAGTGACATGTTGTGAGTTTCCCCAGGAGGCAAATACTATTGGTAATATCCAAAAGGACTTTTTTTTTATGTAGAAAAGGGAAAGGAGAAGAAAATTGTTTCCCTTCCCTTCTCAAAAGGTAGGAGAGCTGCCTTTTGCCAAGGCAGACAGTGTGCCAATACAGTGGTCTTTGGAGGAGGGGTCATTGCTTTGGGGAAATGTTAACTGTAGTGAAATTAATCACTTCTGGGATATGACTAAGATGATTTATAAGGACCAGTGATTCTCTGCAGTGGCCTCAATCTCCATATCCTCACCTCTGGTCTGTGCCTCTGGATACTTTCTGTAGCATCTAAAACTTGCTATAGCACTTGAAGCCTAAGGATTTTTCACTTTTATAGTTGGTTCAACAACCGTGTTCATCATTTCTACTTCTACTCCCTGCTCCTGGTCTTGTGATGCCTCTAAATTTCCTACTCACTTGATTTATTGCAATAGTTTTGTTTTGTTTTTTTAAAATAATAGTTTATTTTTACATTATAAAAGGCATTTACATGCCTTTTTCCATCTCAGTTATAATCCCCGAGGGCTTCCCATCACCAAATCACCCAAATCATGTGTGCCATCTACTGTAATAGTTTTTTTTTTGTAATAGTTTTTTTAAATGTATTTCCTTGACTCTAATATAGTTAAGTATGGTTAGTATGTGCTAACTGAAAACCAAGTCTCAAAGAGTTTATTTTTGTCAGTTACAGACAAAGTTTATTAGATAATCAAAGTGAGAAGGAAGCAGTCTAACCCATTTTATTCTTGTGCATCTCTACACAGGAGATGGCTGCTCTATTAAACACAAGTTTGACTATTAGTTTATATAAGTAGAAACAGTGAGTCATTGATTTTAAGAATGTAAATTCTTGAAAGGAAGGATTTCTGGTTCTATGCTGATGCTAGAGGAAAGCAGTCAGGATTTAATTCCTTCCTCCTTAAAAAAAGGACTATTTTTAAGAAGGAAAAATTGCATCTTTTCATTGCAGAGATGCAAAGGTGTGGAACCCATTATTATTTCTTTTTATTGAAAGATTTATTTATTTATGCATACAGAACTGGGGTACAGGCCAGAGGTACAGGGGGGTGGGTGGACAGGGTGAGAGGAATATAGAGAAACAAAGGTCAAGAAAAATTTTAAACTAGCAAACGGCCCACAAAACTGAGGCATACAAAATAGGGAAGGGAAAAACACAAAGGAATATGGTGATGACTCTTGGGTGATACACTGGAAGAAAACGGGGGACTATAATGATCTAAGAAGAAAAATAACGATTAATAAAAAAACTAACTAATGGGCTTTTCCTGTGGGCACAACGGATTGAAGTGCAGCACCATGAAGCTAGCCACAGCTGCTTCAGCACCCAAGCATGGATGGGGGTGACCCACATGGTGCAGCAGACCTCTCCTGACCCGCCCACTGCTCCCCTCAGCAGTGTACTTCATCAGTTTGCCTATTCTGTGCCCCATTCTGTCTCTGGTGAATCCTCTCACTGACTTTGACCTCTGGCCTGTACCCCAGTTCTATATGCATAAATAAACAAATCTTTAAAAATTTATATAAATATAATATAAATATATATATTACACAAATAATATATATAACATAAATAAATTTCTTATTCAAAAAGAAAAAAAAAAGAAGGCCAAGGAGTTGGGGTGGAACTAAAGCACCTGCCCTCCTTTTTTAGGCCTCAGTTTTTTTTAAAAAATCCTTAAATTTGATAACATACAACATTAAATTCACAGGCAGGCTAAAAATAATTCTCATTGCTATCAGCCCTTTTAATCTCAGTTTAGGAGATCGTTTCCTTGAGGGAGACTTTTCTGTTATTACCTTTCTGGGTTTATAGTTACTTGTGGCAATCCTATTGACACTACAATACTTAGTACCTTGAATTAACTGTCTGACTGTCTCTTTCCTATTGCCTCCCTGATGATGTGGACCAACATTATTTCTTGATGCAGCAAAATGATTCCCAGTAAATACTTCTCGTATGCATGGAGGTATGAAAGATCACTGCAGTAGATAGTCACAGGTAGCTCCTATATTTACTAAAGTATATCTTACTTGTTCTGTGTTTCCTTAGGTACAAACCAAAGAAGATGACTTGGAAGCAGATTTCTATGAGGACTTAGTTTCTTTTGAAACGAGAGATAATCAAAACATGCATGCTGATGAAGGACACAATAGCTTTTTTTATATACCCATTTTGTTTTTTGGGATGTTTTCAAATAGCAAATCCCGTAGTTCTAACTTCAAACAAGCCATTCAAGCCTCCCACAAAAAGGTAACAAAAATGGTTCTTGGTCTTTTTACTCTCTCCTGAAAATTAACATTAATTCCAGAAATCATGCAGTGATAGAGATTTTTTCTAATATCGCACCATTAAGATGCTAACACAGATACAAATAGTTTCAATTTTGTTTTGTTATATCCCACTTCAAAAGTGATACAGGTAATATGTATGATGCTTCCTTTTTGCATGTGTTATGGCTGTGTTTATTTTAACTTTGTCTTAGTGTTTTAGGTGACATTAATATTTTATCTTTGTCAAAGTAACATTGCATTATAGCATTTTTATTATTTTCAGGTGTGCATTACTGGAGTTCATTACTGAGAATCAGTGTGTCGGCACTACTTTAAGTTCATTGTTAAAAATCCAAATCTATCCTTCACCATACCATTGCCACCTTTTCTCTGCTTTATCCACTCCACTTGCCTCTTTCCTTCTTCTAGCGACTAATTGACCGTATAGTCCAAAATGTTATTTGTGGTGTATTTAGTTTGTTTGGTTTCTCTATATACGACCCATGGATGAAATCATATGATTTTTTTCTTTGTTTGCTTGGCTTATTTCACTAAACATATTCCTCTTTAGTTTCATATATATTGTTTCAAATGTCAGGATTTCATCTTCTTTATAGCTTAGTAGTATTCCATTGTATATGCCACACCTTTGTTATTTAGTAAGTATTTAGATTGTTCCTAGTTTTTGGCTATTGCTCAATGGTGCAATAACACGAGGAAGCATATATTTCTTAGAATTATCACACTTTGTTTTTTAATCTGGAACTTTTAGCCTTGGCTAAGAAAATTCAGCTAATTTATATTTAATATACTCAACATTAAGACAATGATTAATTGTGATTTGATACTTTTTGTTCTAGTATGGCCTATTGGCTTGTCTGGCAGCCTACACCAGGCAACACTTTTAGTCCACCTGTTCACAGAGGACTTGTGGGTATATGTTAGCCCAAGATAAAACTAAAGTAAATTGATAAATAAATGCTAAAGGGAAAAGTGGGCAAGCAAAAGTAAAGAAAGCACAAATGATTATAAAAAATTTTGACAATCAGGGCATTCCTGGTGGTAGAGGGGTTAAAGACTGTACTGTTAAGCTATCAGCAGACACTGAAGCACAAGTTCAATCGGTGGCTAGGGAGTTAACCCACATGGCATCACAGACCTCTCCACTCGCACCTGTTAACTTTCCTCAGCAGTGTGTTTCAGTCATTCCCACTGTTCTGTTTCCCACTCTGTTTTTGGTGAATACTCTCACCCCCCACACCTTTGGCTTGTACTTTAGTTCTTGTGTGCATAAGTAAATTCAACCTTTAAAAATAAATGCATAAAATAGAAAATGCTGTTGCAACCTCTTAATCTTCAATAGTGAAAACAAGATACCACCAACTTCAAAATCAATCCAACTTATTCAGAAGAGCTTTGTGCTTTATTTACTTATTTCATCAATCACAGATCAGACTGCATATTTGTTGGACAGGTAATCTCTGTCAAAATCAAAATACCATTTACTTCAGAGTCAGTGCTTTTCTGACTTACTTTAAAAAATCGAACTCACAGAAAGTGGTTAATATAAAGCAAGGCCCTACAAAATGTTTAAAGAACTCATGCATGCATGGTTTATAATATACTAGCATATATTTTTAATCTAAAAACTTTTTAGTCACCATGCACTGGTAAGTGGAATGCTTGGACTAAGGTGAGTCACCCAAATTGTACTTGTTGTTTAGAAGATTTAGTTTACAAAGCAACCCAGAAATTTGTACTATCCATTTCAGTACTTATATCTGCACAGGCTTTTGAAGCACTTAAGGCGTGAGTGCATTTCTTCCTGCAGCACACCCTCCTCCAACTTTGAAAAACTAAGGTTCAGTGACAAAATGCAAGTATTAAGCTTACAAGTAGAATTGATGTGCACTTAAAATGTAAGCGTCACAAAGACACAGACTTTGTCCCTTTTATTCAGTTCTGTGTCCATAATAAGCAATAAAAGTTGAGAAGACAAGAAGGAGGGTATGAAGGAAGAAGAGGAAAAAGGGAAAGATAGATGGAACAGGCTCTTTTCCAGTCCTTGTGATTACTTTTTTCTTCTTCTTGTTAACAGTTGTTTTGTAACATAGTAATAGCATATAGGAAAGTGACTTTAATAATCTTTAGCTATAATAAAAGATTGTTGTTTTGCTAACATGTATTCTGCTTTCTGTTACAATTACTCAGACTCTATAAATTGCTAAAATTGAGATATCAGACAGATGTAAACTTTTTTTTAAAGATTTATTTATTCATACAGAACTGGGGTACAGGCCAGAGATGCAGAGGGTGAGAAGATTCACCAGAGACAGCAGGGAGCAGAGCAGGCAGATCCATGAAGTACACTGCTGAGGGGAGCAGCGGGCATGCCAGGAGAGGTCTGCCGCGCCATGTGGTTACCTCTGGGGCAGGTGGAATCGAACTCATGCGGAAGTGGCTTTAGCTTCTTAGTGCTGTGCTTTAACCCGCTGCACCACCAGGGAGGGCCCAGATGTAAACTTTTTTTTAAAAAAAAAAAGATTATAGATACAATCACAAATGTCTTTGACTACAATCTAATGGAATGATATTTTACACATAATTGCAACCACTTAATAATAAATTAACCTGACATAACAAGAAACAACTAAGAAAAACCCTCAGTCCAATATTTTATTTATGAGTGGGGAAAAGAAAATATAAATAATTTTGTTTTATTTTAACCCTTAAATAATATTCAATCTTACATTTTGGAGTGAAAGAGGGTATGAAATGTCACCTGCTGTGCCTCATCTGTGCATTAGGGGACATTTCACAGACAAATCAATGTAAAGAACTCATATTTTTTCCCAATCGGTGTCAAAACTATGATTTGAATACTATCTGCATGATTTTCTCGTGGAAATTTTACAGAATCCTTTTTGCATTAACAAGGAAATTATGAGTGAAAATTCAGTAAGGATGCAGCCACAATTGACAAAAGATTTCCTTTTTCCTGATGGTTGACCTCTTTTGGATAATGAATATATGACTCAGTTACACAGCTTACGTTACTGAGATAATTTTATCTGATTAGTACTTTGAAGAATCTAAGATACTGTAAAGTAAAAAGAATATTATAATTTTGTATGTGAGAAGTTGCAATAGAGTTAAAATTGTTGTATTATTATAGTAGAAATGACCATGACATGACATTTGTATGCTGGTTGTATGATATTAGCATGGTCATATCATGCCATTAGTGTAAGCATCACATGAAATTAGCCTGATGGTCACATACCTCTAGTGTGGTCATTACATGGGGTTGGTGTGTCCATTGCATGACATTATCATGACCACTGCATGGCATTCACAGACGATTACCTGATACCAGTATGACATTGACATGACACTTATGTGTTAGCATGACAATAACATGGCCATAACATGATGTTTGGCTGGCTACCACTTGACACATGACATTAGCACAATAATCCCACAGCATTAACAGGACCAACAGGTAACATTTTCGTGACATTAGTGTGATCATTTCATCACATTACAGCCACATGACCATTGTATTAGTATTAGAATGCCTACTGCCTGACATTAACATAGCCATTACATTAACATATAATGTCACATGGTGATTTCATGACATTGCCGTGATTTCCACATTAGTCACCTAACATTCTTGACTATCATATGGCATTCACATGGCCATCACATGACTTCCTGTAGCCATGTGAGTGTTATATGATGTGGTGGCCATGCAAATATCATGTGAATGTTAAAATCATTGACATTTAAATGCTCGATACAGCAAATTTTCATTGCCCATAATCATCTTTTTTTGTTTACTCTTTTCTTCCATTTAGGATTCTAATTTTATTAGGATCCATAAGGTGATCAAAACATTAAATTTCACCATGAAAACTAAGGACCTGCAGCTCTCTGATGTCTTTTTAAAAGCGCTTAACCATCTGCCCCTGGAATATAACTCTGCTTTATACAGCCGGATATTTGATGACTTCGGGACTCACTATTTCACTTCTGGCTCCTTGGGGGGAGTATATGACCTCCTCTATCAGTTTAGCCGAGAGGAAATAAAGAATTCAGGTATACTTTCTTCAGCCCTTATTTTTCTAACTGATAGACTAGCATGCAATACATTTTTTTCTTCTTTGTTGGCTTCCTTTAGACTCTGCTTTATTTCCAAAATGATACAAAGAACAATGAAAAGTATATACTCAAGTAAATGAAATAAAAATAGGTAAAACCAAAAACCAAATAAATATGCCTAATTTCTGTGATATGGGCATCATATTTATCTTCAAATTTTCAAATGTCTAGGATCATCATCAGTTACACAGTAATTACCATAAAAAAAGGGAGATGTATGCCATTACCTCAAGGAAAATGTAATTTGTTCTGAAGGCAAATTCTAAAAAGTAATTTACTGACATCATTTTATAGTAGATGATAATTTATAGAATAAAAATAAAATTTATATAACATTTATAAATTTACTAGCATCCTGTTTTGTTTCACTGATTTTAATTAAAAGTCAAGGGCATACATTAAAGGGCAGGTAAGGATTTGGCAAGAAACTAGCTAATTGTGGGCCAGATAACCACTACTAGTAGTAAAACTTGAAACCAAATGTGTAGAACTATTATGTGAGGTACGTTGCAACCTTATATTTTGGATATGATCAGTGATATTTCCCATATGAGACAACAGTATAAACAATATAAGCAAACCTTATAGCTTATAAATAAATCTTGGTTTCTTAGGTATTTTTTTTTTAAAGATTTATTTATTTATTCATACAGAACTGGGGTACAGGCCAGAGGCTCAGGGGCGGTGAGAGGCTTCACCAGAGACAGAGTGGGGAGCAGAACAGGCAGATCGACGAAGTACACTGCTGAGGGGAGCAGCGGGCGGGTCAGGAGAGGTCTGGCTCGCCATGTGGTCTCCTCCGGGGCAGGCGGCAGGCGGGAATCGAACTCATACGGAAGTGGCTTCAGATTCTCAGTGCTGTGCTTTAACCCGCTGCGCCACCAGGGAGGGCCAGTTTCTTAGGTATTACTAAAGATGGATTATTATTACTATTTATGAAACTTTGGATACATTTCTTTTCAGATTCCTGTGAAATGACATTAGTTCTTGAGATGAGTTGTCATGTCTTGAGGACTTGATTAGGAAAGTGTATAGTGACCAGAGTCCAACTGGTCAACTCCCAAATCAAATAAAACTTTTGATCACTTAATGTGTAAAAGAAAACAAGAATTCATTTTAAAAAAATCAATGTCAGGGGTCCTCCCTAGTGCCACAGTGGGTTAAAGCACAGCACTGGGAAGCTAAAGCCACTTCCGCATGAGTTCGATCCCACCTGCCCCAGAGGTGGCCCACATGGCGTGGCAGGCCTCTCCTGGCCTGCCTGCTGTTCCCCTCAGTAGTGTACTTTGACAATCTGCCTGTTCTGCTCCCCACTCTGTCTCTGGTGAATCCTCTCACCATCCCTGTACCTCTGGCCTGTACCCAGTTCTGTATGCATAAATAAATAAATCTTTAAAAAAAAAATCAATGTCAGTCCAAATCGGGGGTCAGTGGACTTTCAGTTCCTCTGTTCTTAGATCGCTTTATGGCAAATACTAATGATTAATGGTTCTGCCCTGAGTCCTTCCAAACCTTAAGTGAGTGGATATACCTTTTTATATACTTGTTAAAACAAAAAAAAGGCATACATCTTTTTAAGAAGGATTTTCATGAGGAAAATCTTTAAAAACTTGTACCTGTCAGTTACAGAAATCTGAGATATATACTGTGATAGGATTTCCAAATTGCCTACTCCCTTTGTTTCATTTCAGTTATCCTTTCGACTGGAGAAGTATTTGCAGGTTGAATTTGATGTCTATTGCCAACAGGAACAGCATCAACATTAATTTGAACAAATATTGCTAGGGGGAATCTCTGGCCCTTGACTTGGTTTCATCTCACCCTTGGGTTTAAATTATTTCTGGTCACTGCTGCCGTAGCCCAAAGAATAATTTCTTACTTGATAAGCTATACTCATTATGCATTCAGAGTAAGAGCTCTAAAAGCTTAAAGATCAGGAAAGTTAAAGAACTTTAATCACTCATCCAGCATTTTAATAGTTGAGCCCCTGTAGTCCAAATAAAAAGTGAAAAACTACTTTTCTACTGAAACATTCCACCTTCTATCTCTTTATGAATAAAGTAGAGCAGGCAGACAGACACATACACAAAATGGGGAAGGAAAGGAAGTTATATGTAATATGGAGCTAGAAATACATAACTGTACATACCAACTTACATGCAGACTATATATAGTATCCCCACATATTATATATAGTTTTTATATATAGTTTTTTGTGTATATATGTACATTTATTATATTCAACAAGATATGCTTGTATGTAATGCATATTCAATAAAGGGAGAGATGTTCTTCAAAGTCACAGTGATAATATTGGTGCACAACTTTAATTGTGGTTAAGGTGAAGTCCACTGAGACAGAAGGGGAATTCTCCAGTGTGCTCATCTAGTTTTGTACACTCTCTTAATGGTTATATAGTCTTACTTAATCCCTTTCTTTCCATTCCCTCTTCCTTTAGCTAGCCATAACTCTCCCTTTACCTAGAGTATTGTCTTAGTTTTTGTTTGAAAAAAAAAAAAAACTTGAATATTTTATAGTGCTTTCTTTAAGAAGAATGAAACTAAATTGCTTTTTATTTGCATCCCTTGATTTATTCTTCTATTGGGACATTGCAAAACCCAATTCAAAACCTTGAATAAAAGTTGACATTGCTTCAGTATGCAAGGTGAAAATTATTTCAGGTATACAGTGAAAACCTTAAACAAATTTAAATCATAATTACACAAGATGATAATTTTAAACTCCTTTGTTCGGAGGGCATTTTCTCTTCTCCATTAGAGGAGAAAAATTATTCACCTATTATTTACTAGTATGACAATTTTGAGTAGCACCGTTCACCTTTGCCTGGTCAGAGTAGTGAGGACATTTACAATTTACTCACCTCTGTGGTCACAGCAAAGAGACACTCAGGGTTGGGAGTCCAGTGGTGCAGCATCAACTCCTTGACCACAGTGGACAGAGGTCAGGCAGTGAACTTCAGACCCGCTGATGGGAGGAAGAAGTTTCCAGAGAAACTCACTGATAAAGTCACTGTACCACCATGGTGAACTCTTCACAAATTTCCCCAAAACCCTCAGCAAATTAAATTAACTATGTTATAGTTAACTAATTGGACACATATACTTTAACTTTCACTAATAAAAATCTAATGAAAGAATAAGAAAAGGTTAAGCATCAAGAATTAGCACTCACCTTCTAAGGACAGTAACAGAAGAAAAATGATTAATTTATTTAGACTGATCAAAACAGCCTTTTATTGCTTTTGTTAGAGTTAAAGATGCAAGGTATACATGAAAGTTGCACCCAAGATCTTTTTAATTTCAATTTGTAATGCATCTCTTTAAATACGGCAAACTATTAAAAACTCTGAAATAGGCAGAACTTCTACTCAATTTCATCCTCATTTATGCTTTTAGGTTTCATCTTCACCGTGACATGCAGTCTGTATCCTAGTCTTTATGACCACCTTCCCATGTTTAATATAGTCTACAACCATAAATACCAGTGTTTGTATAAAACACTAAACTTTATAGTCCTTAAGAGTTCATATTAAAACAACACATCTCATGTGTTTGAGTTTCGCAAACAATTTATAACTAAAATTCAGTAGAATCAGATTCTAATGTTGATGTTACAACTAGCAGGTAAGGTTATTTGTAAAGCTGTTAAGAAAAAGGAAATGTCAGTGCCCCTTAACTTAACCATATAGGCAATATCAATGTAATCTATACATAATCAGAGTATCTCACTCAGTCTCTGAAATCTGTATACCATATTTTATGGAAGCACCATTGGGTTAAATTCTTGTTAGTGTTTTGGAAGTATAGGATTCCCACGTCCACGGTGCTCCTTCCCCATCTGGTTCCCACCCCCTCCTTAAGTTCTGTGATCAGATTTCAAAGGTTAGTTTTAATGTTTAATAACCTTTGTTTGGTTTCTCTATATCCCATCTATAAATGATACCATCCAGTATTTATCTTTACTATTCTGGTTTATTTCTCTTAGCATAATCCTTTCTAGCCCCATCCATGTTGCCACAAATGATTTCTTTTTTAAGATTTATTTATTTATGCACACAGAACTGGGGTACAGGTCAGAGGTGTAGGGGCAGTGTGAGGATTCACCAGAGACAGAGTGGGGAGCAGGACATGCCAACTGATGAAGTACACTGCTGAGGGGAGCAGTGGGCGGGTGAGGAGAGGTCTGCTGCGCCATGTGGATCACCTCCAGGGCAGGGATCAAACTTATGCTGAAATGGCGTTAGCTTCTTAGAGCTGTGTTTTAACCAGCTCGACTACCAGCTGGCCCACAAATGAGATTTTTTATCATTTAGAATTTCCATTGTGTATTTATATCACACCTTCTTGCCATAACCATCTGTTTTGTGGCATTTAGATTGTTTTCAGACTACAAAATATATGCGTTTTGTATTTGTTGAGAATAGTGGCAAGATGGTGGGAAAGAGTGATTTAGAAAGCAAAATCTTCAACAAATGATGCATGGAACTTTGGGGAAAAAGACAATGAAGATTAAAAGTGTTAGAACTGGATGGCCTAAGCCTCAGAGCATCATGGTTTTTATAAGACCTAGAAAAGTGTAAAGAGTTATCTTAAGGAAGTAGCACTGAAAATGTAAGAAAACCTCAATACCACCTTCCACACTGAATGAGAAAATGAGGCAGTGTCAATCTCTCTTGGAGAAAACAGGGGAAACAATATGTTAGGGTTAACATCAGGAAATAGAACATTGAAAACCTTGAGAAGGAGGGTTCATAGGCTAGGAAGTCAAAATTTCTGTAAGCATAATAAAAGATTTGTAGAGGGAGAATTGGAGTAAGAACCTGAGTTAAAGACAGGAAGCACAGAGAAATATGAAAGTAAGTGCTCAGGGAACAGAGAGCTGGCCAGTAAGTTAAACATTTTAGTTGACAGACAGGAAAAAATGGAATGTGGACTTTGGTCCCACAGATTGAACCGTGGCCGAGAAAGAAGGCCAGATATGGAAGCAGCCAACAGCGCATAGACCCTCTCTTGATTTACAGGGGTATAGAGTGACCAGTAGGAGGGGAAAACTTAGGGGTTCACTGTGTCGAGGCAACAGAGATCAATGTGATCCCCATGAGAAAGACCACAGTGAACTTGTGCTTTTTAGGGCCAGTTGAAGGGAAAGAAGGTAGGTGCTTAGAAATACATCTCTCGTCTGGCTCTATGAGGGACTGAATCTGTAGATAAAAGCAATGAAGTTGTAGGATCACACATGGGGCCTTGATAGAGATAACCTGTGGAATCCAGAGTGTCCAAGCCTTCAAGCTCCTCTTTGCTGAGTTCTCAGTGGTGTATTCTCAAGGTTTTTTGTTTTTGCTCCATTTCCTAGGTTTAACAACGGAAGAAGCCCGACATTGTGTCTGTGTTGAACACACAAGTGGCTTTTTTATTTTTAAAAGCACACACAGGGAACACCATTGTACTGCTAACAAGATGTCAGAGAAATACGAAGGTAACTATATTCTCTTAACAGTTCACTGACTGTCTTGAGATTGGCAGGTATGTTATTGCCATGATTGTGCTATTTTCAACTTTCCATTTATTTATGTATCTTGTATAATGCAGGAAGGGTATAAAGAAAGTATCATTAGGAACACATAAAAGTGGAAAATGTTAAGGTTTTCTTTGTCTTATAGTGACATTGTTTAATTTAATGAAAACTTACTGATTCCTCTCCTAGCCAAACTCAATCTTATGCATTGTGACCTAACGATAGGTGTGAACTGAACCAGGTCTTCCTGTTAATGAGATACCAATCATACCTGCAAAGAAATGTTTTTTGTTACTTTCCCACAAATTATTCTTTCAAATTTGTCTGAGTGAAAAATAATCTGCATTTTATAATTGCATCAAAGTAACTGTCTTTACTTGTACCTGTCTATGTGGGATAGCTAAATTCCAACATCTCTAGGACTGTAAATTAACTTAAAAAAAAAAAAAGAGCACTAAAAAGTTTGAATAGTTACTCGATATTTTTTTATTTTTATTTTTATAATAGTTTATTTTTAGATCATTTTGTGCCTTTTCCCATCTTAGTTGTAGTCCCCATGGGCTTCCCACCACCAATTCACCCTTGTGCCATCACCATAGTCCCCTGCATTCCCATCCCTCATTTTTGATCCCATTCCCCACTCCACCCCCATAAAATGTCTCTGGTATATAGTTTTTCATTATTATTATTACTGTTTTTCCCAGTGGTCCTGCTCTGACCATGAGTGAAGCCATCTGGTATTTTTCCTTTTCTTTCTGGCTTATCTCACTAAGCATGATCCCTTCCAGCTCCATCCATGTTGCTGCAAAAGGCATGAGTTTATCTTTTTTGATTGCTGGTTACCCAATATTTTTAAGATAATCAAACTAAAGCATGAACATTTCTTAATAAGAAATGTAAGTCATTTAAAATAGTTGCTCTTGCACATAATAAGAAACTAAAAGCAATTTCCCCCACTGCCAGCTTTCTTTAGTTTCACAGAGAATTCTGTTAATTTGTCTTTTTAAATTTATTTAAAAAATTTATTTATTTATGCCTACAAGAACTGGGGAGTAGGACTCCCTGGTGGTGCGAGGGGATAAAGTGCAGCACTGTGAAGCTGTCCACAGCCACTGCAGCACAAATTCGTCACCCAGTCAGGGAGGTGACCCACACGGTGTGGCAGACCTTTCCTATCCAGAGAGTCTCAGATATTTAACAACATGTTGTAGGTCATCAAATGGGTTTCTTTTTGAATACTTCTGCACCTCAAATTAGATTTGAAATCAACCGAGGAAGCAATTAATCGAACACCTTGTTAAGAGCTGAGTGGGACCTACAGTTGGATGAGCCAGATGAGCCATAATTAATGTTCATCACCTATGAGCACCTTTATTTGCTTTGGAAGAAAGACGTGAAAACCTACCTAGCAGGAAGTATAAAGGTGTCACATAGTACTAGTGAATGACACCATTAAAGTTAAGCGAAGGAAAAGATTGGTATAATGCAAATGGCTATGAATTGCTTCACAGAAGAGGTGAAATTTGTGGAAACTGGACGTGTGAGGGAAAGTGGGAAAGAACACATCAGATGTTAGCAGAGGAGAGTGTTGGTAAAATGACAAAAACAGGAACAGCTGTGGGTCTAGTTTGGGGAGACTCAGCAAAAAAGTCCAAACAAATATGGTGAGGGTGTAGAGAGAAAAACTGTACACTTTTTGTGTGAATGTAGATTGGTCCAGCCCTTATGTGAAACAGTTTTGTGATTTCTCAAAATATTACAAAATATATCTATCATATAAACCACTGTCCACACCTAGTATCTATGCAAAAAAAATATTAATTTGAAGGGATCTAAGCACTTCTATGTTTGTTTTATACAATAATGAACCATTACTTTGTCTAATATCTAAATTATGGAAACAGCCTATGTACACAAAGATAGATGGGCAGGCAAGAAAATTTGGATTAAGAACATGGAATACAACTCCTGTGCTTTATGACAACATGAGTGGACCTGGAGGGGAGTATGATTAGTGAAATAAGTCAGAAGGAGGAAGACCAAATACTGGGTGATTTCATTCATATGCAGAATACAGAGAAAAAAAACAACAACAAGGAACTGACAAAACTAAACTGAATTAGATCCAAGAAATATGACTGAAGAATTGAGGCTACTGGAGGGGGCAGGAGTTTAGGGGTTGGGAACAGAGGAAGAAAGACGCCCAAATATGAAGTAGCTGTCATGACCACTCTCAATCAGTAGATGATATATTGGCAAATACTGACTTGTTTTCTTTCCTGTTTTTAAACAAAATAAGATATAAAATTTCTAAAAATATTGTTCTTATGCCTTTCTGTATTATCTTGTGCATCTTACTTTGAAAAAGGACCATGGCACTTTCTTCAGAGGAAGGATGTCTTACTAATTAATTGTTCTAATCACTCTAGATTATCTTACTATAGAATTTTTTTCCTTTTTTTATTTATTACAAACTTTATTTTTACATCATTTTGCACATTTTTTTTCCATCTCGATTGTAATCCCCGCGGGTTTCCCATCACCAAATCACCCCTGTACCACCACCATAGAATTTTTTTTAAAGATTTATTTATTTATGCATACAGAACTGGGGTACAAGCCAGAGGTACAGGGGCAGTGAGAGGATTCACCAGAGACAGACTGGTGAGCAGAACAGGCAGATTGATGAAATACACTGCTGAGGGCATTAGCAGGCAAGACAGGAGAGGTCTTCTGCGCCATGTGGGTCATCTCCCATATTGGGGATTGAACTCATGCTGAACGAGCTGCCAGCTGCAGATATTTTTGGGTAGCTGCGGAGAGCTTTATAGTGCTGCGCTTTAACCAATTGCACCCATCAGGGAAGGTCCGCTTACTGTAGTTTTAAACAGAGGCGAGGGCTAATCTTTGCTGACACTCTCAAGAATAGAAACCAAAGTATTGCCATGAATTAGTATATACATTGCCAGCTTCCTTTTCACTTGATTTTCTTTCTCACTACAATTTCCCAACCCCCATTAATTAAAGATACTATTAGTCAATGAAGTTGTTTTCAAAATTTATCTGAAAGATCTGTACTATGTAATTCAACACTAACTGGCATTGATTTTAAAGAAACATTGTGTCAGCTCTTAACTTGAGGTTTACTTTCTTTTTCCTTTGGTTAGTTGTGGGTTTTACTCCTGTCCTTAAGCTTACAAGCATCCTATCAACTTCTGCTATAATTGAAAGTTTCCAGCACAGCCAGCAACCGAATATAGATAGCAATCCTGTTGTTTGCTATTCTCCATTTGCATCCCACCCCCACTTCTTAGTGACCATGTGGTGTAGATTAAATTATTTCAAGCTTCTATGTTTATGTTTATAATAATACATATTCAGAATTGTTGTAGATTACATAAGATAATGTGTGCAAAGTGCCTAGCATATACAAGAGGCTAATAAATAGTTGTTAGCACTGCTATTAGTAAACTCCCTAGAGAGATGAAGAGGCATGTTCTTTTGCTTTTCACTTAATTTACTTAATGGGCAATATGACTGGACTATCTACTTCTCCCTACTGTGCAAATAGACTTTCTGTATAGCTTGAATTTGGAAAAAAATTAAATGGATAATTTGTTGAAATACCTTGCAGGTTCATTTCTGAAGGGAGTAGAGAAATCGATATCGCTGGTGCAAGGTGGTAGAAGTGAATATTCAGCAGCTCTGGCATGGGAAAAAGGGAGCTCTGGCCCAGATAAAAAGATATTTTCCGAGTGGTTAGAATCAGTAAAGGAAAATCCTGTCGTGATTGACTTTGAGGTAAGATTAAAAAGTTATTGTGGCTAAGTAGTAGCAGCCCAAATTATACACCACACAGTTCCTTTTCTTTTTGTATGATAAAGGAAATGTCTTAGTTAGCATGCATGTTCCTTGTACTTTTAAAAAATATATCGTATTTTATCATTTACCTACCGACAAGTTTTTAAATTACATATCTACTGCATTTACTATTCAAACAAGCATTTTCTGGTACAAAATTTAGAGTCCCTGGTGTGCATGAAATGCCAGGAATTTAATGACTTAAACTGGTCAAACTTACCTTGGCTAGAGCTCTTCATCTTCCCATGATGTAATAAAATTAATGTTTGTATTTTTCTTGTCACTCTTTGTTTGATGAGCATAGAGATCTTCCTTTATAGTTCTGTTGGATAAGTACAATTCTATATCCTATTTCTTTTTCTACCCACCACTAATTAAAGTTATCCGTTTCTTATTTGCTGTAATTACATAAAAGGTGATTTTTATAATTAAGGAACTACTTTGCTCACCTACAGTTAACAAGCCATTTAGAACCAGTTTTGCTTAAAACATAACTACTTTTTAAAGTTGTTAAAGCAGCTAATTTGTTTATTTAAAATAAAGATACAGTTATTCCATTATTATGTAAGTGGAATAATTTACATGCAGTGTGAGGAGATATTGAGAGTTCTAGATTGTGGTAGGAAAGGGAGGCCCAGCCACCCATCTGAGCATGTGTGAGTCACACACTGCACTGGGAAGCCCTTTGGGATTTGAAAGTGCTCATTAAAGAAGCCTTTTTTTGTTAGCTTTATTCTTTATTACTGTAATTCTTCCATTTACCTACTGACAAGTGCATTTTTCCATTAACTCCTACTCCACAGTCTTATTCAATTCCTCTAAAAGTTGATCCTGTCTCTGGGAAAACATAGTAGAATCCCAGGGAAAGTAAGCTCCAGATACATCAAGTTTCTATATTTTAGGGACAACAGAAACCAGCTAATCTTGCAGCAGTCTGTTTAATTTACCACAGAAGGATAAGAGTCCCCATCCCCTTCATGGGAAGGGATTTTTCTCTACTTTTCATCAGCCAGATATTATATATGCTACAATCATCCCTTTGAAGTGTGAGATATTCCAAATCTTGCCTCTTATTCCATAACAATTCCAAATGTTGTCAGTGATGGCAACATCTTCCAAAATGATGTGGCTGGGAATGGACCTCTTCTTTGCTAACTGTTCTTAGCTTGCTCCCATCACAAACCTGGTAAGAAACATCCCCTGTGCTGTGACAAAACGGAACAACCTGAGGAAAGCTTTTCAAGAATATGCAGCCAAGTTTGACCCTTGCCAGTGTGCTCCATGCCCTAACAATGGCCGCCCCACACTCTCGGGCACCGAATGTTTGTGTGTGTGTCAGAGTGGCACCTATGGTGAGAACTGTGAACTACGTTCCCCAGATTATAAATCTGGTAAGTAATAGTTTGTTGTGAGGTAGGTACCTCCCCCCCAAAAAAAGGGTATTCCAGGTAGGTCAGTCAATAACATAGAACAAAACACATGCTCCGCCTTCTTCAAACTTACAGGGAAAAAAACCAGCAAAATGTTAGACTCCAAAGTCAAACAGCCCTGGTCATAGTCTTCAGAGTAACCTGCCAACTATGTGAACTTGAGAAAGCTTCCTACCTCTCTAAGGTTCAACCTGTCATTGATAGTTACTATCAAATCTACCCTAGTATGAAATATACATAGTGCTATGTATTATGTACAATACATTATATTAAATTTATATAAAGAATACACAGTACAATGCCTGCAACAGAAAATAGATTAGAGAATAAAACATACTATAAAATAAACTAGATGACACTGTTATAAGCCTCTTAAATATTGTAATACAGGACTAGGAAGGCTTTGTAATAAGAAAATTATAAAATCAGTTAAAGCTTTCATATAGGAAAAAGTAACATTACCTCCTATCTCTTTAGAAAGAGGATATGTCCAGGAAATGAGGATAAGTTCTGTTATCATAAAAATGCTATGTGATCTATATTCAGAAGTTCACACTTATGAGTATATATATGTGTGTGTGTGTGTGATAAGCTGCTGCTAGTTGAAGATGATTCATAAATATTGCCATTATCTTTAGGCTGTGGGAACAGGAAAGGGCAGGCAGTATGTGTCAGACCTTTCCATGGGCCATTTCTTTTAATCCTCCACAAAGCAGGTCAGGTGGCTAGAAAGAGCAAGAACCAAGATGGCTTGGCTTCAAAGCCCACATTGTCTAGGCTGCTCAGTGATGAGTGGGTGGGCCTTTCCTTCTTCCAGATGCAATTGATGGGAACTGGGGCTGCTGGACTTCCTGGAGTACATGTGATGCTACTTACAAGCGATCAAGGACCCGGGAATGCAACAACCCTGCCCCCCAACAAGGAGGAAAACCCTGTGAAGGGGATCAGCACCAAGAGGAGGACTGTACTTTTTCAATAATGGAGAACAAGTAAGGATGGGCAAGGGGAAAGAATGAGTCATTTTTCCCACTAAAATCGAGTTAACATAGTTATTGTCCTACTACTAAATAAAAACTACATAATTGGAATGTTGCCTATCCAGGACAGCATGTTAGCAAGGTACTGGATCTGCTGCTTCCTGCTGTCCCACTTATGTGCCTATTTTATGGATCTTGTACATATTTTAATGTGTATGTGTACATACACATGTATATATGTTTGTACATGTCAGTATGTGTAAATACAGTTGATTCTTGAACAACATGGCTTCAACTGTGAGGCCTACATCTGCATGGGTAGACCCCACAACAGAAGGATTAATGGAAGAAAATGTAAGGGAGATCAGCACTTGCGATTATGCTAGACAAGGAAGAAGTGATATGCAGATTTTCCTACTGCTTGGGGGCTGGCCAGCCTAACCCCTCTCCAGTTTGAGGAACAATAGTGTAGGTACACATACAGATGCAGCTGTATGGCTGTATATACCTCCATACATATGCACGCCTATTAATGTTTCCCGCTAGTGGACAACCATGTATCAATGATGATGAAGAAGTGAAAGAAGTGGACCTTCCTGAGACAGAATCAGATTCAGGTTGTCTTCCGCCAGCTCTTCCAGAAAATGGATTTATCTGGGTAAGCATCCTCATGTTCCTTATTTCAGGTTTGGGGTTTAAAACATACAACTAAAAAAAGTATACATTTTCTGTAATTTGGAGTTTTTTTTTTAGGAATCTGTTGACTTAAGAAGTAAGAAAGTAATGTTTAGAGTGATCCAGCACTCCTTCTTGGATTTCCTGGAGTTATCTTCATGCCTGATTGTTAGATTGAAAGATACTTAGGTTCACTGACACACCTAAGTTTGTATATTAGTGGTACATTTATGTGACTAGAGGATGGAATTTGAGCATAATCTAGGTTTTGAATGATGTCAGAATCTATAAACTAAGATTTGGCTGTTTACTTTTGAGTCTCAGACATATTATCAGAGAAACAAACTACGCTATAATCGTAAGGAGTGTTGCATCTATGACATTTTACTAAGTTTAAAAACTTGTGGATTCTCAAGGGGTCAATATAGTTTTAACATAATTGGCATAAATGTTATAATTTTATCTTTTTTTTCATTAAATCATAATGCTTCTATGATTAAAAAATATTTTTTCCAGCATGCCTGTGGCTTTAGATATAAACTTTCAAGAGGCTTATAACATTTAAAATTAATTTTACTATTTTTTAAAAATTTGTCTGTCTTAAACTCAGGAAAGTTTGGGCACACAATGAGGATGGCAAAGAAAAGAGAACTTGGGGAAATATTTGGAAGTAGAAACAACGAGGCCTTTATGACTGAGTAAATAAAAAGTGAAGGAATAAGGAGATCCAAAATCACTTAAAGGTGTTGAGATTATTATTAGCATTAACAGTTTTCTGGTTTCTATTTTATTCTAGGATGGAAAAAAGCTGTACTCTGTTGGGGAGGATGTTGAAATCTCATGCCTTACAGGATTCAAAGCTATTGGATACCAGTTCTACAGATGCTTACCAGACAGGACCTGGAGACGAGGAGATGTGGAATGCCGACGTGAGAACAGGGCGAACATTTTACCTGTGGCCTCTGAGGAATAAATGTGCCCAACATAAGTAGACCAAAGTCACACCTTTAGATTAGTATAATTATCGTATTTCACTAATTCTGGTGAAAAGATTTAGCAAAGCAGAAAATAGGATTCATTTGTTAAAATTAAATTTCAGTATATCTCATATTTCAGTTCATCAGCCCCTGCATATTAGCTTTATATACACAGGACATGTAAAGCATGAACTTAAGCAGAAATCCAGGAAGTCTGCTAACTGTCTCTAACCGTAGACATCTGCCTTGCCTGATATAACTGATGCAAGGGGATGAGTCCCAGGAAGAAGACACTTCCTGTCTTTATATATAGCAGCAGTAGAATTTTATGTGAAATGCATTTTTCTCCTTGTGGCATGGCCACCCCCTTTGCTGACAAAGAGGATGAGTCTGTAGAATCCACATTTACCCATCCGTAGTAAAGTCAAAATGAGATTCAAACAAGGCTCAAGCAGACTTTATGATGTAGTGTTCATGAGAGTGTCCTGTTTCTGTGTCACACACAGTGGTAAATTCTTATGAGAAAACCCTTCAGGGAGAAGAGGAAAGAAGATTTGAAAGGAAAATATCCCAATAACATAATGAAAGTTGGAAGTCTTTAGTCAACTTCTTAGCAAAGGAATCTCATTGTCTTTTCAGAGACACTGAAGAGAGTTTCTCAATGGAAGCTTGAGACCCTAAACCCCTAGGTTTGCTTATTTAAAATGAACAACTGCACTTAAGCTAATCCAACATAGGAAATTGTATTGAAATTGTTACTTGGGTTCCATAAAGTCTACTGACATTCATTGAGTTTTCTGCACTATTAAATACATCCAAACTCTTTTTCTCTCTACAGGGACAGAGTGCCTCAAGCCAGTTTTGGAGGACACTGTAACAATTTCACCATATCGAAGACTGTATAAAATCGGTGAATCTATTGAACTGTCCTGCCCTAAAGGCTTTGCCGTTGCTGGGCCTTCAAGCTACAAATGCAGTGGGGATTCCTGGACACCACCCATTTTAGACTCACTTACCTGTGAAGAAGGTGAGTTGCAACTCAAGATTCTGGGGTCTGCTCAGGCAATATGCCCCATGATTAGTAGTTTAGCACTGATATTAGGACTACGCTGTTAAGTGTGTTTTGGGTGGAAAGAGCAGGAGTTCACTGCTGAGTTGGGAAATACTGGACCAACCCTAGGAAGTCAGAAAGCAAATAGGTTCTTGGTCAGAATGATACCTTCAAATTTTAGAGTCAGGTCAATTTTCTTCTTACTGTAAAATTTGAATATGTTCAGCAAATACAGGTTCTCTCAGAATTGATGGTTCTTGGAGATTTTGGTTAAAGTGATAAGTACATATATGATTATTTTATTTTAACTTAAAGTAATAAATCACAAGTTTTCAAAAATATACTAACAAAAGAATAAGTTATTTCCTTTACAGTTAGAATTCCATTACTTCTTCCTTGGAGAAAAGCAAATATATAACTTAATCTGTGTTATCCCATACCATAATTATGGGATATAAATTTCTTTAGAACATTGATTTTTCACCCTACTCGTGAGATACTTTAAAACAACATACTCTTCCTATGAGATCCTGAAATATATATACAGTGAACAGATATTACCTAAAAAAAAAAAGGGATTAGAACCTGTGGGTAAAGTCTCTATTAGATCATTAGTTAACTTCTCACCAGGGTCAAATTAGTTTGGAGCCAGTGATGCAAATGCCTCATGCATAAAAAGAAAAGGCACTAAAAAGCAGAGAAAACCAACTCAGTACTCAAATCCTTTTAATGTACTTTTAAGTAAATCTAAATAACAAAAAGCAATGCATACCTATTTAAGATTTTTTTTTTAATTTTAATGCAAATGTATTTACTTAAAAACATTCAAACATTTGCAACATTTTGGGGGAGTAATTACAAAGTGGTATTCAGTTAACAGAACAATTATTTCATATAAGCTCCATCAGAGACAACTAAAGATGAAAAACTGCCATCCTGCTATTTAATTAATTTGTGCTATGAGCTTTAACTTTCCGTGCCATTTTACAACCCCTATCCTGTTACCAGACAAGATTAGTAGCTAAGAAAATAGCAGACAAAAAGACACACCGGATAGAATGTTAACAATACCACAAAAATTAAAAAAAAAAGACACTACAGTTTAAAAACAAATATTACACAGCCTTACATTTCTTTCTTTTTTTTTCTTTAAAGGAGCTTAAATAAATCATGGACAAGAAAAAATCTGAACTAGAACTAATTTATCACCATCTTCCTCTTCTTTACCTTCATCTTTTTTTCCTTCTGATTTCCTCCCCTCCCGTCGTATGTATGTAAGTCATATGTAAATTACATTATGTATATTCCCTTTTTTATAGTAGTGCTGTTCACAGCAATTCAAACCAAAATTTTTAGAAATCACCTTTAGTTGTTTAAAAATTTCACCTTACTTTTTGTAAAAGTGCTCCCCTTACATGCCTTTTGCAGCAGCATGGATGGAGCTGGAAAAGATCATGCTTAAGGGAAATTAGCCAGAAAGAAAAGGAAAAATACCAGATGGTTTCACTCATAGCAGGAGTTTAAGGACCAGGGGAGAAAATAATAATAATAATAATGAACAACTATATACTAGAGATATTTAACAGGAGTGGAGTGGGGAATGGGATCAAAAATTGGGCAGGGGGAAGGGGGATGTGCACAGGACTCTGGTGATGGCACACGGGTGAGTTGGTGGTAGGAAGCCCACAGGGATTACAACTGAGATGGAAAAAGGCACAAAATGATGTAAAAATAAGCTATTATTTTTTTTAAAGATAATTAAAAAAAAAGTGCTCCCCGTTTCCTCCTTTATCAGTTTATATGCTTAATCAGTTTACCTTATCAAAATATAGATGAACATAAATAGATTTGGAAACAAGCAAAGTTGACTTGGGATCCCTCTGCGTGGGATCAGGGTGGGCCGCTGGGAGGATACTTACTTGGATACTTAAGAGAGCTTCTCATTGATATCTTCAAATTTCTCAACATGCTTGTTCAAATGTCTCATTCTTTATCAGAGAATCCTGGAGGATTTATGCAAGATGGGGTCTAAGTAGGCTCATTGGGTTATAAAAAAAAAAAACAAAAGACTTAGCGGTTCATTTAAAACCAAGGTCAAACAGATCAGGTGAGACTGCTAGTCTCCTGGACTCTTCGCTTTCTTTGTTTTTATTCTGGGTTTTCATAACATGTTAAGAAAAAGGTAAGAGGGGACTCTTTCCCTGGTGGTGCAATGGGTTAAAGCACCGCATTATGAAGCTCTGAAGCCACTGCAGCACAAGTTCAATCCCCCACCAGGGAGCTGACCCACATGGTGCGGCAGACCTCTCCTGACCCACCTGCTGCTCGCTTCAGCAGTGTATTTCCCCACTCTGTCTCTGGTGAATCTTCTCACCCACCACACCTCTGGCCTGTACCCCAGTTCTGTAAGCATAAAAAAAAAAATAAATCAAAGAAAAAAAAAAGGGTAGGAGGTGCTGAACTTTTGAATTACCCTAGAAATGTTCATGGCTGTTTCTCATGGAAAATTGTGAAATGTTTTTTTTTTTTTTCAAAATAATATAATAGTTTGTTTTTGCATCATTTTGTGCCTTTTTCCATCTCAGGTGTAGCACCCTTGGGATCCAAATCACCCATGCGCCATCACCATAGTCCAGTGCATTTCCCCCCCCCCCACTGTTTTTGATCCCATTCCCCACTCTACTCCCATAAAATGTCTCTGGTATATAGCTGTTCATTATTATTATCTCGCCTGGCCCATTATACTCCTGCTATGAGTGAAACCATCTGATATTTTTCCTTTTCTTTCTAGCTTATTTCAAAATTTCTGAAAAAATTTAACCCCCTCCCCCACATACTCACTATTGGATTGCTCATCTTAACTCAGGCGTCATTTCCCTGTGGAGATTTGCTTACATTTCAGCCGTGGTTTTTTTATTGCAGGATCTCCTGGAGCCATGTTCTCTTTTTTTCAAAAATAACTATTTCTGTCTTTACATATATAAATGTGTTACTATGATTATTTCATTAACAATTATCCCACTGTCCTTTAAAGCAAGAGGGAAAGAAAAGGGAGCACAGCTACTTTTGTCTCTTTTGCTCAACCGTAGTATGCTAACGTCTGGAATATCATGCAGAGAAAAATAACTATAGTTAGCAATTATATTACTCCATTTATTATTCTTGTAAGAAAATCTGACTTTAAACCATTACCCTGCTGCAGTTGCATTACTGTCAGTACTAAATGAATCCATATTGCTAAATGCAGCGAACATTATTTTGGGTCTCATCTCCCTAGATCTCAGCAACATTCACCGTGATCACCATCTGCACATACACTTGTTCCCTGGCTTTTGTTGGCTTTTGAAATATGAAAGCCTGCTGTTGCTCTGTTTTTCACTGGCTCCTGTTTGGGCTTGGACATTAAATGTTGGAATTCCTCAAAGCTCAAATCTGTTCCTTTACCTCGTGTTACATCTTCTTGCTGGGGTATCTCACCCACATCCATAAGTTCAGTGATCTTGTTTCTTTATTTTAAACATGTTCACCCAGGAAAGTCACATAATGCTCTTGTGAGACTTTCACGCCTGATCTTTTTGCATCAAATATTTTCCATTTTTTTTCTTTCCATTCTACTGTTCCAAGTCTTCCTACCTACATCACTCTCGTTTATATGGTTTATATTTGACATCACTAATAACAAGCAATTCTATCTGAATAATGTCTGTCTGCCTCCACACAACTATAGGCTTTGAGAGTACAAGATCTAGATCAAATTTTGCTTAATCCACTCTCTCCAGAAACCAACACAGCACTGAAACATCATAATGGTTCAGTGAATATTTGAAAAAAAAAATGAAAAATTTCACCAATCCAATTTTCTTTAGTTTTCTGAACTTGATAGAAATTTTAGGGCAGCCAGTGCTCAGTGCTAGAAAGGGTCTTTCCGATGCATTATTTCCTAACCATGGGTTTAGAACAGCCAAAGTGAATGTTATATGCAGAACGAGGTAAAAGGTTTATCTTTTACCACTACTTTTTTTTTTTTTAAGATTTATTTGTGCTGGGGTACAAGCCAGAGATGTGGAAGGTGAGAGGATTCATCAGGGACAGAGCGGGGAGCAGAACAGGCAGGTCGACAAAGTACATTGCTGAGGGGAGCAGCGGGGGGGTCAGGAGAGGTCTGCCACGCCATGTGGTTACCTCCGGGGTAGGTGGGGATTGAACTCACGCAGAAGTGGCTTAAGCTTCTTAGTTTTAACCCTGCTTTAAACCTCCATAAGGAGGGCCCTTACCACTACTTTTAGTCACTGCCTTTTCTCCTGAATTTCAGCGTATGGCTTAGAACCCATGTTCCCCTTTTGTTTCAGATATTCTGACAAAAATGAGGGGCCATTGTCAACCAGGACAGAAACAGTCAGGATCTGAATGCATCTGCATGTCTCCTGAAGAAGACTGTGGGTAAGAGATACTTTATGGACTATTTGGTAATTGGGATAGCCAGTCTAGTGTGAACAGCTTGACAGAAGAACTGGACTTCTTGAAGCACAAACATAACACATATTAATAGTTTACATGACTGATACCCCCAATGTCTTTCCTCTCTGGGAAGTAAGCTTTCTTAATTATCGCTCAGCTAGTTGCAAGCTTGCATGGCTTTTGTTTATTATTAAAAATCACAGTTTTGTTTTAAAGACTTATTCCTGCCCATTTTTAAACTTCAGACTATTATCTCAAAGCCTTTCTTCTTCCCTGTAAGGATAGGGCATATGTGACTCCAGAAACTTGGGGAAGAGAAAGTGGTGTGAGCATGGACTTCACATACACACTTGTCGGTTAGTTCTTTCATGTAGTGGCAGGAGTAGGGTACAGGGATCACTAAGAGGAACTATGACATGTCCTCATGTGACTGCCATGACTTACTGTTCTTTCTGTTGTCATAACTGCCTTTTGTTTACCAGGAAAAACCTCAGCGCTAATGGTACACATTAATTAGAGAGCTGCTTTCAACTGAATTTGTTCCAAAATAGCATTAGCTTCAGTTTAAACTCCAGCTCTCTCTCTCTCACACACAACATAAATGCATAGGTAAACATGCTAGAGCTGCCATGGTGACTCTCATTCAGACAGGACAGACTCCTTCCTGCTCACTACTTTGCCATTCTTATGTTTAGTTCTTGCTCTAACACTGTTCTGTAGAAGCATTAAAGGAAGACCTCAAGTGGACTTATCTTCCCTTTTCAAGGAAAATTCCTGAAAGATCCAGCACTCGCTTCCATTTCTTCCATTCGCCTGGAAACATGTGCTCATTGGGGAGGCATGAAATGTAGCTCTGTGGTTCAGTGTACAAGCATTCTGAGGAACATTAGAATTTACTAAAGAGAAAGAATGGGACTGGGGATTGGAAGCTAACACTGTCAGTTGCTGTACTTCACTTTTAATACTGATTAGCTTTGTCATCTTTATGCTATTGGTAAGCAGAGGCTTGTTCAGGCACACTGATAGGCTTTGGAGAATACCACAAAGTCTTCTTCTGTTTAATTCCTCTAACATCATTTACCGTAAAGGTGCTGTCTTCCCTCCTCTGTATTCTCTGCAAGTGGTCCAGGCAGAGTTCCGTCCCTTATCCTGGCAGGCGCTGTGTGTGGTCAACACAAGTGCCCAAGCCTGCTGCCCCAAGGGTCTGGAGAATGTAGGGTTCAGCTACCCCAGTTCCACCATTATTCAGAGGAATAATATAACTTCTTGGAAAGTTGGGGATGTTCAGTAACATCTTTAGGGTGACAGGGTTTGTTCCCCTATACAAGTTACCCAAGGAAATGTTTTAAATGCTCATATTCTTAATCTCAGCACAAACACCCTGCAAAACTATTAATATAATATGCTGTTGCAATTAATGAGTTAAGAGGAGATACAGACTATCTTGTGCTGAATTGAGCAGGTTCCACCAATATGTTTTAAGTTGTCCCGCAGTGTCTAGCAAAGCCACGGCTGGCAGTATTATTCAGACAGCATGTTCTGAGTTTAGACAAGATCCTTCAAAGGTCTCTATTTTCTTTCTGTAGCACATTCTCTGACCCTCCACTGCTTTTCTCCCCACCATGTGTGTGGACACAGAGAGGCAGACAGGAGAGACATTACAGGGTTGATTGAGCAGAGTGGGGTGGCAGCAAAAGAGGGCTGATCTTCTAAATTTAGAGAATAATTAGTAAGTATAATTGTCAGGTGACAAGCAGGATTTAGGAGGATGGGAAAATAGTGCTAGAAAGGCAAGTTAATTGGAGTCAAATTACAGGAGATCTTGATTACCAAAATTTAAAAATTTAGACTATAATTTGATGCAGTTGTAAGTAATGCCAAGATGAAATTTTAGAAAATGAATTCTAGAGCATCCAAATGAATGGAGTCTCTGAAGAAGACAAATTGGGAACAGGGGAGGGGCAAGGGTGAGGTTAAAGGGAAGAAAATTGGGTGGTATGTTAGCATATTGAATTGACAACTATCTAGTTTTTTTTCCTGGTCTTCAAATATAAATGTTTGCTTTCCTCTCTTGGGCAGCCATTACTCAGAGGATCTCTGTGTGTTTGATGCAGACACCAGTCGTTATTTTACTTTACCAGCTTGTAATTTTTTGGCTGAAAAATGTTCAACTAATCGGCAACTCCATTTTCTACAAACTGATTCCTGCCAAGATGGTCCCCAGTTAGACTGGGGTCTTGAAAGGACAAAACTTTCATCCAATAGCACCAGGAAAGAACCCTGTGGCTATGACACTTGCTATGACTGGGAAACATGTTCAGGTAAGCCCTAGGAACACGAGAAATGTATTCACTTACTCTGCCTCTCAACTAGAACATCTTGCATTTATATACTTTCTTAAAATAACTTTTCCTTAATCAGCAATCATTCCATTTTATTGTTTAAAAAAATTACAGAGTGCTTTAAAAGAAAGGGAAATATATAACCCTACCCACAGTTAGAAATCTCTGCTTTAACAATTTTGGTGTAAATCTCTCTAATCTTTGTTCTCTGTATATGAAGCCAACCCTGGCTTGGGTCTCAGTAGGAAGCACGCCTGTCCCATCATTCTCCAGGCACACTTCCCACACCAGCTTGCAAAACCTTCATCAGCATTGTCCTTTAGCAGTTGAGACTGGTTGGGGCCAGCATGATGTCTAGATAGGGTGCCTCGACTTTGAGTGTGTTCAGCATGGATACCAATTGCCGAGAGCAGGTTCTGCAAATGTGTTTAAGTTGTCCTGCAGTGTCTGGCAAAGCCATGGCTGGCAGTGTTATTCAGACAGCATGTTCTGAGTTTAGACAAGATGCCTCAAAGGTCTCTATTTTCTTTCTGTAGCATATTGTCTGACCCTCCACTGCTATCTCCTTCACCATGTGTGGATCACCCAGCTGCTCTGAGGAGTATGGGACTCAAGCCCGTGGAGTCATCCCTGGCTCAGATCTAGGTGCCCCTCCTCAGAGATCAGCCAGCTAGTGTTCTTTCTCAAGATTTGCTGAGAGTACATGTTGATATGTGTGGACACCCTTAATTTGGAGTGGTTTTAATTCTTTAAATGGTTAGGCATCCCATGAGAAAATTTTCTTGAAGGCTGCCAATGCCCCTAGGATGACCCTTTTTAAATTATAAATTATTTAAAAATAAAATAGGATTGCACTCTTAAGTGCTATTTTATGTGTCGTGTCTTCCACTGAATATCATGAAGCTGTTTCCATATTCTATATCATTCTGCCACATAATTTTCAATGTCTGTGAAGGTACTTGTGGATATTCTGTGATTTATTAAGCCAAACTTCTATTAATCATTTAGATTTTCCCTATATTTTGCTATTAGAAACAGAGCCAGGATAGACAAATCTATCACAGATAAATCTATAATATTAGTGCCTTAGGACATACTTTAGAAAATGGAATTGCTAGGTAAATATTACTTTATACTGTAGTCTCTGTTGATATATCACCTTGCATTCCAGAAATGCTTTTATCATATTATATCCCTATTGACAATTTATGATAAACACTTCCATCCAATTCCAAAATGTGGAGCTATTGTCCTTTTATATCTCCTTTATATATTATTATCCTTCATAATATTATTATATATTATTCTTTAAAATATTATAAATTTATAGTTCAAGTGTCAATTTGTCACTTAAAAAGTAGCATTACATCTACATTTTCCTAAGTCTTTTGACTATTGGCATATACATTTGAGAATTGCTTGAAAGCAGAAACTTCACAGCAGTACGTTTGTTCTAAGATAAAGTTTGACTCTGAAATAGTCCAATTAAAGCTTCATGTAATATGCAAATATAGGTTGGAAGATTAGGAGTTAACAGCTCAATTAACGACTAACATAAACAGATTTCTCTTATGCCACATCTCCGAAATGGAGGCATAATGTATGCAGTGGAAGCTTGGTGAATTGTTATCTCTAACATGCTAGAACCACCTTATTTTTGTAAAAACAAAGGCAAAAAAAACTTACTGTTGCTTTTGACTCTTCTTTTACTTCCTATGCCAGTGATCTTCAACTCAGTCTTAGGAAAGTGGAGAGGTCTTACGATCTAAATCCAGTTCCTTTCTGATCCACTTTAAGCTGATGATCAAAACTCAGCTGCCTTGACAGGTGGCAGAATTGAACTCACAACAGAGGTAGACATAGGTGGCACAACAGGTAGTATGATGTAGACAACTCAGAAGGCTTCCAAATTTCATGTCACACCTGCACAATGCAATTTCCCTTAAAAGACAACAAAGTGGGCCCTCTCTGGTGGCTCAGCGGGTTAAAGCACAGCACTGAGAAGCTAAAGCCACTTCCACATGAGTTCGATCCCCGCCTGCCCCGGAGGTGACCACATGGCGCGGCAGACCTCTCCTGACCCGCCTGCTGCTCCCCTCAGCAATGTACTTCGTCGATCTGCCTGTTCTGCTCCCCGCTCTGTCTCTGCTGAATCCTCTCACCCTCCGCATCTCTGGCCTATACCTCAGTTCTGTACGAATAACTAAATAAATCTTTAAAAAAAAAGACAACAAACCATGTCCCTCCCCGGTGGTGCAACAGGTTAGACACAGCACTGCAAGCTAGCCACAGCCACTTCAGTGAGAGTTCAATCTAGACCCAAAGATGATCCACATGGCAAGGCAGACCTTTCCTGACCTCCCCGCCAATCCCCTCAGCAGTATACTTCATCGATCTGCCTGTTCTGCTCCCCACTCTGTCTCTGGTGAATCCTCACACCGCCCTTGCATCTCTGCCAAATGCCCCAGTTCTGTATGCATAAATAAATAAATCTTAAAAAAAATAAAGACAATAAACCAAGGCCCAGTATACACATTGCTCAGTTCTAATCAACATTAAATCATCTTGTCAATAAAATTACTATTCATTTTTGAGCTGCCTGACTAACTCCCTTTCCCACTTGCTACCTCTCTCAGGAACAATAATTTATGGACCTAAAAAGCCGAAAATATTATGCAACATCATTTTGTATTTAAAATATGAACTTTTTTCTCTGCAAATTATAGTGTAAACACATTACTGTCAAAAACATACGCAAAAATAAGAGGAAATTGAGCAGCAGGGAGAATAAAAATGGATGCTGTCTATACTGTAATATGTGTGCAGTATGTGGGATATGTTTAATGTCAGTTTCCATTCTTGTTTATCACAAAACTCTTCTACTGCAAAGAAATGCTTTTTTAGTTACTTTCCCACAAATTATTCTTTCAAATTTGTCTGAGTGAAAAATAATCTGCATCTTACAATTGCATCAAAGTAACTGTCTTTACTTGTACCTGTCTATGTGGGATAGCTAAATTCCAACATCTCTAGGACTGTAAATTAACTTAAAAAAAAAAAAAGAGCACTAAAAAGTTTGAATAGTTACTCGATATTTTTTTATTTTTATTTTTATAATAGTTTATTTTTAGATCATTTTGTGCCTTTTCCCATCTTAGTTGTAGTCCCCATGGGCTTCCCACCACCAATTCACCCTTGTGCCATCACCATAGTCCCCTGCATTCCCATCCCTCATTTTTGATCCCATTCCCCACTCCACCCCCACAAAATGTCTCTGGTATATAGTTTTTCATTATTATTATTACTGTTTTTCCCAGTGGTCCTGCTCTGACCATGAGTGAAACCATCTGGTATTTTTCCTTTTCTTTCTGGCTTATCTCACTAAGCATGATCCCTTCCAGCTCCATCCATGTTGCTGCAAAAGGCATGAGTTTATCTTTTTTGATTGCTGGTTACCCAATATTTTTAAGGTAATCAAACAATAAGTCATTTAAAATAGTTGCTCTTGCACATAATAAGAAACTAAAAGCAATTTCCCCCACTGCCAGCTTTCTTTAATTTCACAGAGAATTCTGTTAATTTGTCTTTTTTAATTTATTTTAAAAATGTATTTATTTATGCCTACAAGAACTGGGGAGTAGGACTCCCTGGTGGTGTGAAGGGTTAAAGCGCAGCACTGTGAAGCTGTCCACAGCCACTGCAGCACAAATTCGTCACCCAGTCAGGGAGGTGACCCACACGGTGTGGCAGATCTTTCCTGTCCAAAGAGTCTCAGATATTTAACGACATGTTATAGTTCATCAAATAGGTTTCTTTTTGAATACTTCTGCACCTCAAATTAGATTTGAAATCAACCGAGGAAGCAATTAATCGAACACCTTGTTAAGAGCTGAGTGGGACCTACAGTTGGATGAGCCAGATGAGCCATAATTAATGTTCATCACCTATGAGCACCTTTATTTGCTTTGGAAGAAAGACGTGAAAACCTACCTAGCAGGAAGTATAAAGGTGTCACATAGTACTAGTGAATGACACCATTAAAGTTAAGCGAAGGAAAAGATTGGTATAATGCAAATGGCTATGAATTGCTTCACAGAAGAGGTGAAATTTGTGGAAACTGGACGTGTGAGTGAAAGTGGGAAAGAACACATCAGATGTTAGCAGAGGAGAGTGTTGGCAAAATGACAAAAACAGGAACAGCTGTGGGTCTAGTCTGGAGAGACGGGAGCCACTCTACCTTAAACAAAGGAAATACAATTGATATTGAAAAGACATGTCGAACAGTAGAGGACTTTGAACTTTGATTAAACATGTATGTCTGAATAGACCCCAGCTTATGATGGCTCAACTTTTTAAAATGACATATTCAGTAGAAACTGTACTTAAAGTTTTGATCTGTTTCTGGTGATTAAATACTCCCACAGGAGGCTGGGTAGCAAGATGCAGGGGCAGCTTCAAGTTGGCCCTCAGTCACATGAGACGAACAATCAGTATCTGCGGGTTATTTTAGCTTTCAGCACAGTATGCAGTAAGTCGCATAAGATATTCAACTCTTTACTATAAAATAAGTTTTGTGTTAGGTAATTTTGCTCAACTGTAGGCTAAAGTAAATGTTCTCAGTACTGTATGCTAGACTGTGCTACCATGTCCAATAGGTTGGATGTATTGAAAATGCATAACCTAATGATATTTTCAACTGGACTTCTCAGGATGTGATCCCCCTGTTAGTCTTGTTAGACCTATATATAAATGAGCTTATACCCATTTATTTAAATAAAATATATTTGACTTGGTAACTTTCTTCCTAAGTGATTATTTTCAAACTGTTTTACAAACATAATGTTTATATGAATGATGAAGTGATTGAGTGGCTCTGAAACCAGTCCCCATAAGCTTCCAGCTCAACTGCTTTCTTTAAAAAGATAGATCCCAAGTATAACACAGAAATATTCTAGGAAGAAATCAACAAATGCTGTGTAAGTTATAGAAGAGAGTTCATCGTGACAGCCATTAGTGACTTAAAACCTGCCTCTGTGACATACTGATGGTGGAGTTAGTCTCTCTGAGCTTATCCTCCACCTGTAGCATCATATAATAACACAGTTCATATGTTCATTGTGAAAATTAAATAAATGAAGCATGTAAATGTTTGGTATATTCTGTAGGTTCATAGCACAACTCAGTAAATAGTAACTATAAATGTATGAAGTAATCCCTATGAGAAAATTATAGAAAGGTCTGAAGAAACTGAGAAAATAGGTTGTATGACTGGATGTAGTGACTGATTGGATATGCATAGTGGCAGAGAGCAGGTGTCAAAGATGGCACAGCTCTTCCAGCTTATAGGCTTATTAATGTGCTCTGCTCTCTTACATCCAGATCACACCATTCAGCCACAGTTGGGTTTTTAGGTTTTGCTTTTGTTCTGGCTTCCTCATTCATTGCCACCAAGTACTTGTCACTGGGGATAAAAAATCAAACCCTAAAATATTGTGGTGAGTCATACTGTCTTTCTCTCATTGCAGCCTCCACTTCCAAATGTGTCTGCCTATTACCCGTCAAGTGCGTTAAGGGTGGAGAAAATCTCTACTGTGTTAAAATGGGATCATCAGCGAGTAAGAAAACAGTGAACATCTGTGAAATAGGAGCTGTAAAATGTGCCAACAGAAAAGTGGAAATACTGCATGCTGGGAGGTGTTTGGCCTAACACAATCACTGGTAAACAGATTTACTGTCCAAAAATAACCCCTACAAAAGAGAACGTTTGTACAAACAGCAGACTGGCACAGCCACATACGTTCTGATGTGCTCATTTCATATGATGATTTCCCTTGCCTCTCCTGTCTCAGACTCCTCTATCTACTTCCAGTTTACAACACTGTCGCATACTGTTAGGTCACAGTCACACTAACCTAGTAAATTCCTTGTTCAAGTTGTACTGAAATGATGGGACTTCTGAGAAGTTTAGGAAGCCTACACTGTTAAATAGCCTCACAAATAGAAAAAAAACAAAACCATAATTTTCTTTACTGAATAAATAATTGTAGAAATTTATAACTTGTAAAGCACATTCTTGAAACCCAAACTTCATGCTTTCATTCAATAAATATTTGTGAATGCCTCCCAAAACAGATAAAGCCCTTGTCTTCATGAAGTTCACATTCATGTGGTAGAAAAGATTAAAAAAAAAAAAAAAGCATAAGTTTGTAAAGTATATAGTATGTTTGATGTTTATATTTGCTTTGGAGTGTATAATGCAGGGAAAGGTGAGTTCCATTAGTAAGCCTTGTCTTCCACAGGATTTAAGAATTTATAGCAATAAGCATTACAAGAAGGCTAACTGGACTCAAATGGAAATTATCTTATTTAAAGTAAAGGATAGATTTTGGAGTTTCTCTCAGAAAGAAGAAAAAATATTCTCTTGGCCTCTGCTAAAGGGCATCACAAAGTTTTTAAGCTGGTGAAGGAATGGTTTTAAAGTAAGCCATGGCTTTTATATTTTACCACAACAAGTAAATTACCTCTTCCATCTGAGTTCCAAGGCACAGTGAAGGAATGGAAAACTTCTGCTTCTCATGCTTCTGAGAAGGAGCACATGGAACAGAAAGGCAGGAACTCTGGGGCATTCTGAGTTTTGACCATGACCCTGTGGTAAGCACCAAAAGGAGATATAACTACCTCTTTCACAAGAAGTATTGGGGAACTAAGTGAGTTGGAGTAAAGCCAAACACCACCCCAAGAAAACCAAGACCTGCCAGGACAATAGAACCAAGTTTAGTAAGAGCCAGTTCAGAGGAGATGCTCCCGCACCAACTATTACATAAGACTCCTCCATTTCTCCTGATCCACATTCTAGATTGCAGCACCAAAGACCCAGACCCAGCAGATAGAGTGGGGAGAGGCACGCTAGACAGAAACAGGTTCCGCCTCACCACGTCTGTGCTGCTGCAGTGGTTGGACATACACAAAAATAGTCTTTGTGTCTTCCCAACCTCAGATCCTCTCAGCCACAAGCCCAATCCAAAAATGGAGGCAGGGAAGAAGAGGAAATATAAATTGGATGTGAGAGTGGAACTTGTACTGGATCAACTTTTGAAAGCAAACCAATCCAAAAACCTATGTAATCTTCCCTATACTTATTTGAGATAAGACAAAATGAAACTGGATTGCCAGGACAATGGACAACAAACTAAACGGCTTAAAACAATGGCGATATAATATCACAGTTCTGGTGGCCAGAACTCTGCAATCATAGTGGATCAGCAGGACTGTGTTCTCTCTGAGGACAGAGGACAGAGTTCTTCCTGGCCTTTTCTGACTTCTGGTGTTAGAAATCCTTGGCACTCCTTGACTTAAGAGATGCATCATTGCAGTCTCTATCTCCACATGGCTATCTTCATTGTGTTCCTTCTGTGAATAACTGTCTGCTCACATTTGCATTAATTTAAGAGAACACCAGTCACGTTGGATTAGATTTACTCTAATGCATCCATCTTTATTGGATTATGGCTGTAAAGACTCTTATTTCTAAATAGGATCACAGTCAAAAGTACCAGGGGTTAGGACTCAATATAGTCATTTTTTAAGACTCAATTTAAACTGTAACACTAGGATGAGGGGGACAAAAATCCTGTTTGTAGCTCATAATATAATCCAGGATTATACGAACTATCACATTCATATTGTTTGATTAAAATCAGGCATGCTTGCTTTAAACTATGCTATTTTTTTACTTGCAGCAATCTTCTCTTTGAATGATGCTTATTTGGTCTTTTTACCACTTTAGTTACCTTTCTTTCAAAGAATTTTTTGAGTGCTCTAATCCATTAAAGTTTGCATTAGGATAATTTGCATACCACTTACCAGTTCAATTTTTCACACTCTGGTATTAATATTAATATAGCAATTTAGTACAATAAGTGTTAAGAGCTAGTGATAAAATTGTCATCATGAAGCAGAGAACAAAAACTGAAACATCAAATACCTGGAATTTTGATCTAGACTCTCCAGTGCATCCTAGAATATTAAATATAGCTCAAAGGTAAAAGTTTTATCATCTAAGGCTACTTGAGATGAATACTAAACACTCATCTTGTGAATTAAGTAATTAGAAACCCATTCAGGTCTTTCTTATGGCTTTTATTTATTTTTTTATTTTGCCAGACATTAACAGTATAAATGAAACCCCACTTTAAAGAGCTCTGTAAATAGATAAACCCTGTATTTCAGACTTCTTGGAAATAGAGATGTAAGAATGATTTTAACTTTAGAATTTTCTGGTATGCTGACATTCAAGCTTAAAGAAAATATCCCCTTTCTGGCAATATTCAATGGAGTTTGCAAAATTTTAGAATATGTTAGTGTTTTTTTTTTTTTCTCTTTCATAAAAGCCTACAGTTTCTTCAACCAGATTCCATAGCTGTAAATATTGAGCTCTGTTATTCTCAGAAGAGTACCTACAAGCTAAAGCTAATCAACATCCCTTCTTAAGTTTTGATTCTGTTACAGAAAGTGGCAGATAATTGTCTCTGGTTTTCTGGGTGGAGCTGGCCACCAGATAATCTAAAACTTGATGGATTGGGTTCTAAGTGACTGGTTCTCTCTGAGGTCACCTTCATTCTGCTGGATACAGATATGGAATCAATGAGACATCAACCTTATAGCCAAACAAATTGTCTGCAAAATTATAGCTGTATCCTTTCTGTTTTATGAGAGTGAGACAGGCCACTGCTTCCCTATTTGTCTTCTTGACAAGTTCTAACTGCACAGCTTCAGTTCCATGTGTCAGATGTCAGTTAGTAGAGCTGTGTGTCACCAATCAAGGGACTCCAAGGGACAGATGGTGCATTGAAAGTCATACCCATAAAATTTATAGAGGAAGATACTCATCACAACATTATAATAGCAAAAACTGACAGACCCTGAATGTCCAATAATGAATTATGGATCATCCATATGATAGAGCGGGAGGACACCACTGATAAGTATCTTAAAAAAAGGGGGGGAGGGGAACATACTAAAGAGTAGGAAAACCAAACTGCAAACTGTGTATGATTTGAATTGTGAAAACTCGTAGCAATGAGTTAACACAATGACTAGAAAAACAAATCTTGGAGAATTAGGGTTATTTTTATTACCTTATTTATATTTTTTTGTATGTTCTACATTTTTATAATCAACTTGTGATGCTTATGTCAATACATGTAATTGAGAATGAAAATTCATTTTAAATTTGTCTACGCTACTTAAAAAGCTAGATAGTTACTCTTCTTATATAGACAAACTAATGGCAGATGGGCTTGGAGTTCAGGCCAGTCCCATTGGTGTAGACTTGCCAACATAGTACAGGTAGTAGCTTCCAATCAGACAGGTGAAGCCCACATGCTCCCATCACTGGAGTTAGATCTATAAGCATACAGAAATTTGGGGAGGTGGTTGCTTACAGTTTAGTGGTAAGATTTTAAAGGTATACTTAAACCAGTATTTTGCAATTAGAGAGTGTTTTTAAATTACTTGTATTAAAGATACAACTATTGGTAACATGAAAAGGTTATAAAAAAAGAACTGAATTGTTTCAAAATAAAACCAAACTTATATGCGAATACAAAGGTTGATGATAGTTGGAGATACCAAGTATCATTTGAACTTGGCCAAATCTGAGGTTCAGGTTCCACTTGTGAAAAAAGGACAATACCAGTTAACGCAACTCTGTTCAGTGGAATGACTGAAAAATAGATGATAGACAGACAGACAGACATGTGCCAACTAGTAAAGACTCTAGGATGAAATGTGTACTCACCTACGAATGTAGTACTGCTTCTCACCAGTGGAGAAGAGTGATAGAACTTTCCTCTTTATTTCCTGTCACATAAAGCAAATTCCTCTACTACTACTCTTGATATTAAATGCTTGTTTATTAAGAATCCCCTGGGCAGAAATGGTAGGAACACATACTCTAATTATGCTATTGAGAGGCGTTTGTCACTGTGTTCTGGCAGGCCTGGCCACAATGAGCAACATCAGTAATAAAGGTTTTAAGTTTCTTCTAGATTGAATCACCCTTTACCAAGTAAATAGCCGCATCCCAGTGTTTGCAATCATAAACCTAACAATACATGATACCAAAGCAATGTGGACAGCAGACACGTCAACAGAAAATGAAAACTTGTAGGGTTCTTTGCTTGGCACCACTCTCTCAGTGTTCTAGGACATCATAGGGAAAGAAAAGGATATATATGACCTAAAACATATTCCTTAACATTTAAGTAAAGCCACATCATAGTTCAAAGACTGAAGACCAGAAGTTGTTATCCTGTGTCAAGCAGTGCTTATAACATCATCGGGCCCAACGCACTTGAAGCAGCTCTATTTTGTTTATAACAACCAAAAACGAGTTACTGCCTTTCAGAGTGTCTCCCCTTCTGACCAATGAAATGTGAACAGTTATACATGTGTAGCTTCTGAATAGACCATGGAATTGCTGGCATGAACATTCCCTCACAGCTCCCCTCTTCCTGTGGCATAGTGGAAATGATGGCAGGTCCTTCAGCCTGAGGACGTTCAGCAGTGTGTCTGTGTTAAAAAGAAACATAAATGCAAAAATGGAACATGTGTCTAAGACACTCATCATAAACTTTGGGGTAATTTTATAGAAGGCTGCAACTGTTTACTGTAGCAAAGTTAATCATATTGCTTGATTACCAAATCATTCCTATTATATTTCACATTAATTGCTTATCAAAACCGCATTTTTAAGAATTTCAGGCATTTACTGTTGACGAGAGTATACAAAAATGGTTTCTTTAGACCATTATCTAATGCTTGGATAGCCTTTAAAATAGCACATTGTAGCAGGCACTACTCATTCCGTTCAGCTCCCTGCCAGTAGCCAGCATTGCTAGAGTCTGGTTCCAGTTTCATCAGGAACTGGAAGTAAATTACAACTGGTTTCAGTTACTCAGTGCTCTGAGTGCTTGAAGACTAGCCCTAGTCTGA